CTGTCTTCTGGGTTGTTGCTCTGTGTAGTCTGGTCGATGTTAACAAACGTTTCAGAGGTCATACTGCCTCCGTCATCAGGGTGATGAGTATGAAGATTTCTGTCTTCTGGGTTGTTGCGCTGTGTAGTCTGGTAGATGTTTACCAACGTTTCAGAGGTCATACTGCCTCCGTCATCAGAGTATGAAGATTTCCGTCTTCTGGGTTGTTGCGCTGTGTAGTCTGGTCGATGTTTACCAACATTTCAGAGGTCATACTGCCTCCGTCATCAGGGCGATACGTTGGTGGAAATCTACCAGACTACATGGCGCAACGCCCCAGAAGACAGAAATTTTCATACTCACCGCTGTGGAAACCTCAAATCTTACAACATTAGTCTGATTAAACAGCATTAACAAATGTCACTGCCGATGCCATATAAAAAAGTATACCAGTCTCAGTTTCAATCACAACAGCGTTTACCTAACACAGTTAATAAAACACTGTGAGTTAAACAACTTCCACTACACACCAGTTTTCTGTTACTTACTGATGATGATGTACTGCATGGAAACAAAAAACAGCTAACAGAGTTTTAGTTTCTGGTTCAGAAAGGTATAAATATTTAACATCTATAATGCAACCTACAAGAACCTACGACATGTGACCCTGTACTGATTTAAGTAGAGCAGGATTAATTTTATGGCAAGAGAAGTATTGGATTAAATATAACTTACCAAATGTCAATATATACTTTTCTTTGTCTGAATCCTCCACTTTGTATGAATCTATGAGCCAAAAACTCTGCAATAACTCTAAGGCATTCCAGTGCTGTTCCTTGTATGCATAATGAAAAGCACTGTTGTCATCACTATCGTGGATCCATGGATCACCTCCATTTAAAAGCAACAGACGAAGAATACGAGCGCGACCCCAAGCCGCTGCTATATGAACAGGAGTTTGTTTGTCTACAGACCTAAAAGAATATATTTAAGTAAGTCTAAACAAGAAGCAAATTTAATCTCAGCCTTTTACAAATTTAATTATTTTATTAATAATTCAAAGTTTCCTTGTAGAATAATTAAGGTTATTCGGTTGGGTCAGTGTACAAATAAATATGCATTCTGCCATACGCATCAATACACACAATAAAGATTAACCTGACTGGTCACTACGTATCTGACTTGTTCTGCCAAATGTGGATAAGCTAATTTTGAGCATAACCAAAAGGTTTTGAAATTTAAATTATGCGCAAATTCTTCTGGTACATTTAGTGGTGATGTAACGTATGCTGAGGGAGCGTGAGGATACAACAGTGTAAAGTAAAATTATGTAGGAAGACCCAAACTTTTAAGCTGCACCCAGGCCCACACACTGATAAGGCACTGACTACAGTCAAATCAGGCAAAAACATTAAAGAGTTGACAAGTGCATACAAAATTTTAGTGAGAAAACCTCAATAAAAGTAACCACTTGGGATACCTAGGTGTATATGGGACCATAATAATAAAAGATATTAGAGAAACATAGCGTGAGAGTACGATGGTGAGCTCTTGTAAACACAGTAACAAACAGTCAGATTTCAAGTTCCCAGTGGTGACAAGTATGAAGATGGCTGTCTTCTGGGATGTTGCACCATGTAGTCTGACATTCACCCTGATGATGGAAGCCGAAAGCTATGAAATGTCAACGTAATAAACCGTGCAATACCCATCTACAATAATGAATGTTTGGATTTCATAGAAGATAGGAAATTTATTGACTAGCTGAGCAACTATTAGATCATCAAGAAAAACTTTGCTTCATGGACTTAGTTAACCTTCATTGGCCATGCAATACAGTTTCCACACGATTCAGTTGACTGCACATCAGAGAAGCATATGGCTAAACCATTAACCCTGGAGTCAGAGTCCAGCTAGCAGCCCCGTAGTACAGAAAAAAATCCACTACTCTGGTATGATAAATATTAATACATAAATTCAAGACAATATCCTACCTTACATTAGGATTTCCTCCATATTGTAGAAACAACCTTGTAACTTCCTCTGCAAAATCTTCAGATTCATTTCCAATTGCTAAATGAAAAGGAGAAATTCCATGTTTTGGGATAATGACATTTGGATTGGCATCTCTATTCTGCAGGATTGTTTTCAAATGGCTGAAATAAAATAATGCCTTGTAGCAAGTCACAGATTAAAAGACAAAAAATCTTAAAATACATCAAACTATGGAACTTTCACATTAATGACACTTTGTTCATTAAACAAAAACAAAGTAATAGTTAAATATGAGTCTAAAAGGTAGCTTGGAAACTTCATCAGACATGA